AGTAGGCTTCACTGGAGGCATAGGCAACTTCCTGGTCTCCCAAATGGGGCAGAATTTGGCGGCATTGAATGACCGGTGAATCGCTGTATGCAAACGTCTTTCAAGTTTGGCGGTCACGATATTATCTCTGAAAGGTAATTGAAGGTAGACAGACAGTTTGGGCACAGTAAGTACCCTCGGTCTGTTTTCCTTCACAGTTGACTGTGGAATCGAAAATGGCCTCAGGAAATCCGTTGGCCCGTAGCGTCTGTGTTAAACAGCAATTCCGATTCCAAACAGTCGTCAGTGCACACTCTGCGGGCTCGATTAAACAGCGTCTTGACTAAGCACCGCTTGTATTGGATAGGAGTGAAGCTGTTGTCGATTCTTGCGGCCCTGAATTGTCTAAACGGCGAATACAACCGGAGCAAACGCATGTTGGCAAAGAACCAGATGACCCTCCGTATCATCTAGGACGTTTGAAACCGTTCAAGCAATCCGATGGTGACGCAGTAGGCGTAAGTCAATAGGGCAAACATACGATCTAAGCACGCGACTGAACACTTCGCAGCGATTATTTCGACTTGTAATGAAGATTAGTTTTTTAGTTTTTTAGTTATTTAAAGCAGAGAACTCTAGAGCACGGTATTGCTTTCCCCGGATCTGCTTGAGGATTACAAGGCCAGTCAGTCATCTGCTAGACGAGGACGTAACGCCGACACACTTAACAACAAAGGAGATGTTGCAACTACAATGGTTGCTGGAGGTATCACAATGGGTACGGATCGCACCGGTTTCCCACCGCATTCTGCTGACGGCTTCGAATCTGGTAAATGTTTCTTAGTAAGCAATATAAATAGAGATGGAAGAGTTGCTCAGACATGTAGAGAGTTTTATCTTGGATTTAAACGTAGTGTCCTACATTAAACGTGGGATCGATTCGATAAGGTATGCGTAGAAAGTAAGACAGGAATACAACGTTGATGCGGTGCATAACTGTACGCATGGTAATAAAAGAACCGTCGGAAAGATATTTTCTAGGTCTTTAAAATTTTCTCAACACTTTGTTACTGTTTACGGAAGGACCTTTCGATTTCCTTTAATTCATTTTACCACCTTAAGAAAGCTAATCGGCCGACTCAACGGTTGGACCGATCGAGTTGTTCTGGCCACAGCTAGTGGTGCAGCGGAAACCCATGGGGCTGTGAATAGGCCGCTGATATCTGGTACCGCTACCAACATCGATGGGGTAGAAGTTCTTGTGGTTGCAGTATCGTTATACGCATAGTCGAGTTTCAGGCGACTAACTTTCACTTATTCGCATTTCCACTGTATAGGCTTAAGTTCAGATAAAATATTCCCGAAATCTACAGGTGAAGTTAGTACGCAAAAAACTGTGATGTAGTCAAGGAGTCTGATTTCGCTAGGTATAATACGACCTGACCGAGTACTGATAGTGCAGACGAGGGACATGTGCTTAATGAGTTCATACAAGCGCGTCTTAAATGGCTGAGTGGCTGAATAGGTAACGAGTAGTTTGCGTCATGTGGTGCCATAGCTTACATTTGCGTGCTTATGAGGAAGAAGGTAATTGGGTACCATGAAATCTTAGCAAGTTTCTGCGGAACTTCACCATTAGCAATTGCAAGGGCGCGGATATCGATGTCCGAGAATTCAACCGAGTTGAAATGCCACAGCACGACAGTTCGTTCTAAAGCTACGTTGTTTTTCCAACGCTTCTCAATTCTCTTCAGTGCTTTCACCTTCTCAGCTTCGCAAAATCGTAAGAGTGCAACCGAGGACTGAATCAACTTGTTGCAATGTGGTGTTAAATGACTGCAGCCATTAAATGAAAATTTTAATTGTGGGACGCTGTTACACTGCGAATGAGAAGAACCTGCTTGATCACAATCTTCATGCTATTGAATGATAACTAACTGAACGCGCTCGTTGAATGAGGGTTGAGACATATTCACGGGATGAAACTGTTGCTTTATATCGCCGGAACCAGCAAATTTACCACAGTAATAAGCCTAAATGAAGTGTAGACTTTTGGTCACCCATACATGAAGCTGTGGGGTGTTTGTGTGATGGAAGTTTATCGTAACTGCTGAAGTAACTGTTATCTAGCGCTAGCTTCCAGCGAGATCTTGCTGGATCCCGTAAACTAGATGTGATGCCCCAGCTATTTGATACCAGATAGCGAACTGGAATCGTGACGCTAATTAAACTGCCATAGTCGGCACATCGCCACCAAATACTGAACTTTTCGGAAGTCAGATGTAATTGTGGTTGTCAAGGATGCGCAATGCAAAATTCGGGCTTACGCACACGATGCTTTCGAGGTTCGCTCCCTTCGGTGTGTGCAAAACGTGACACCTGGGCAAGTAGCTTTGTAGCTGAACATCGACTACCGCAGCGACCAAAGCACCAGTTGATCCAACAAGTTGGTGGGACAGCAGTGCTCCGTAAATAGTGACCTGTACCCCAAGGATCAGTAAAATTTTCGTTTATTTACACATAACAAGCAACATGTCCGTGTTGGAAAGAGCAACACCGAAATACTTCTAAAATGCTGCTTGTTTTTATACTAACCTTGACCTCAGACACCGGGAGTTGTCAGCAATCTGCATGTTGATCAAACGATGCCTTTGTTAGCATATCGAAACCTGGTAATGTGGATGCTCCAGGTGAAGGTATCTTGTGCTAAAAGCGGGCTTCAGTGAACGACAATGGTTGGGCACAATAGTATCACAGAGTGAACTGTTAGGCTACGGTGTTGCTCGAATCAAGCTGACTACAGCGAAGCGATTTTTTCGCATACTAGGATAGGTCGCTGATTGAACCTCCCTGTTGGTAGTCCCTTTTCGTTGCCTTGTGTTGTCGCTGTCCTTTGCCGATGCACCCGTTAGTATCGATTACTTTGGGGAGCCAGTAAGTGGTAAGATGCTGCTGGTTCCCAGTATTGCAGCTTTGGTTTGACAAGAGCTAAAGACGAGTCGATGGAGTTGATCTTGATTGGTGTATTCAGCACGCTTACTCTACAGCCATCCTCGCTTGCTGATCTGGACGCTGACAGTGGAACGCACCCTGTAATGGATAAAGCCTAAGTATTGGTGTTGAGAACACGACCTGATGCAGACGAGTTGTGTATTAGAGAACCCGTCTAGATATCATAATAGTTCGAACATAAATGTGCACATTTCTTCCTTGGTACCTTTCTATCTTCTCCGCTACATCTCCTCATTCACAACGTGTTGGTTGTCGATTTGTGCATTACGCTTTCTTCGTCCGCGGCGATTCACGATTTCCCTTCTTTCCTGGCGCCCGCTCGTTCCTACACATACTACTCATTAGTAGTGCGCCACATTATTGCATTCGAACGGATGAGAAGGACTACCCAGCCCATATTGATTACTACTACCGCTCTTTTTTCTGACAAAAGACAGATTAGAAATCCTTGCTAGTTAGTTGGAAATTATCATGTCTGGGCTGTGCGAGGGTAATTGTTATAAAAGGCGGTGTTTTCCGCTTACACACGTCTCGTTGGCGTCGTCATCATCATTATTTCATTATACATGTTACCTGCAGGTAGACGACACCTCAGCTATTGTGCCGCAATACTAAAGAAAGAGAAAACATGAAAAAACGGCTGAGTTACTAGTAACCGATGGATATCGTTCCGGAGAGCTAACTGCCGGCTATCGTGCAGCAAAAGTCTTGTAATGCCTATTACTTGAGACGGTGTTTAGAGGAAAGTTAAGCGGGAGGCGGATGAACAAACAAATTCACATCAAAAACCCCATGGAGTTCGGCTCCTAGCCATGTCCAAAAGTGTATCCAGCCAAACCTGTTCATCGTCCTTCGGTTCCCAACCAGGTAGCCGGGAGGCTCCAACAGAGGCTAACATCGAAGTAAGAGCCTTCATTCCTCTTGACCAAGTCATCGCTTGACCACATTTCCTCCTCTTTCATTCAAACCCTCGGCGCATAAACAGCGCACCTCGCGGGAGTCGATGGGTCGGCATGCGCAACAGGTGGCCCAGTCGTCGGAGCCTGGTGCTTGAAATAACCATGCTGAGCGTTTCGCTTCTTCTTCTTGCGCCATAAACAAGAGGCCGAACACGTTCATTGCTCATACTGTGTACCCACCAGATATGAGCCAAACTGCGAAGGCACCGGTTGTCAAACGTAACTAGCCTCCTTATGTCTGCGGATCTAATGGACCAGGTTTCACAACCGTACAGTAGATGTCAGGCGATTGACGAGCCTGGCACTTTGTATGACAGACAAACTTAACGTGGACTCAGCGCACACATTTCGGATGATCTTCACGTCAAATAACACCCACGTTTTACGATATGGCGAAGCTGTGACGATCAAACAGCTGTGCCCCACGCGTTCGTCACACTGGCTCCGACGTGGTAGTAGGGCAGTTGACAAACGTACAATTGACCTGTGCGTTTGTCTATCTGAGTGAATTTGGTGAATTCGCTATCCTAACTATACCGGATGTTCATGATGCTATGTGGATATGTTTGCACGCAATCTACATTACGCACTTGATAATATGCAGAGAAATTTGTCCGTATATAACTCGTGCGGTGCTATCATACTAAGTTTTTTAATATGAAAATCCCATCGGGAAATAGATGCTTCAACTTGGGACATATTGCAACCGCATCGTCGGATGTTTTTACTCTTGTACACGCACGCAAAATGCAATCTCATTGTGTAGCCGACCAGAGTACCGATATCCTAGATTTACAGTCAAGCGCTAATTTCAATAAGCAGTTTGAACTGCCATCGGTAAACCAGGGATGTTACAGACTGCTGTACCAGCTACTATATTGGATAACCAACTCATAATTCCTCAACATTTCTTAGTTTATCTTCCATTGACATCCGGTCTTTGCACCCACTTGTTACATTTAAACAGACAAGCAGCCTCACCCGATGTATCAAACCTTTCATCAAGCCGTACACACAGTGCTTATCTGTAACTTGTTTGTTTCATTTTAGTATCCTTCTATCTTCTACTGAATATCAGTGAGGATTTAAACGTTGAATTTAAGATGCAAAACAAAGGCATAGTTCCTATGCTTTGCCGATGCTTGGATCGGGATAATTTTCAACTGCTGATTTTAATTGTTTCGTTTTTAAAGAAACTGAGCATTTTTAACGAAAACAAGGATGCTATGGTGAGTTTTTCTATTTGTACTTACAAAATCTGACAACTTTTCACGTATGTCGCCTATTTCACCTGAGTTCGCTCGGTCTGTCTTTCATTGGGAACGCGAGGAACCGTCTGTAGGATCAAGAAATATCTGACTATAGTTTTTTCGACGATGCGAGACACGCCAGTACAGCAATCGCCAATACAGCATTTGATCTGGAAATGTAAGCAAAAGTCTCAAACTGACCAGCGACCTCATGGTGAGGTTAATGCCGCATATTTTGTGCTACTTCACGGCAGTTGGGTTAGAGCCATCTACAATTACGCTTTTTCCGCATCACACTAAATCTGGCTGCATCCACTTTATAGTACTCGTAAGTAGTAGGATTTTAGTTGTAATTTTGGTATGGTATTCATCCCGATAGTTCACAAACTACATAGCACTGTCTGGTCGGGAAAGCACTAGACGCGTTTCGCCCTATTGGGGCTCGTCACTGGTGCGCATTCCCTCGAACCCATGACCGCTAGAGGCAGATGCCGACTAGCCAGCAGCTTATGCCATTGAGCCATAGGGGATGTTTGCGTCGCATAATTTTCAAACTAACTAGAATATAGCACCACCTATCTTCCACTGTCACTGACAATGGCTAGACTGCGAGGTGATGAGTCGTCTCAATTGACGCTATATCCATAGCATTTTGTAAATAGGAGAGGTTATTTATTTTATGGCACTCGTACCTAGCAGGATTTTAGTTGTAATTTTGGTAAGGTATTCATCCCGGTAGTTCACTTTATTTTATTTCTCCAGCTATAGTAATCCTCAGCATATTCCATGTATATTTTGCGCGTCTTTCTCGTTCATTTTCTTTGTTAGTCTTACGTTTGCCCAAGCTCATCCTTACTCTAAATTGACGCTTCAAACTGGGTTGGACGAGCTTGAACTGTGGTCATCTTCCCGATCCCCTGTCCTCAACTCTCCAAAGTACCAAGACCTAGTTTTTTTCTCTTCTCCATGCTGAAAAACGTCAAACTTTGCCCATTGCTTCGAGCCTCATTGTTCTTAACGAATGCATTATACCTAATTCACTCACTGTTAGGTATCTTGGTGTATTTTTTTATCTCAAAACTTAACGTGGTCTACACACCTCGGTGAAACTTTTCACAAGGTAAGGAAACTATCAGTTTATGCCCTGCGGCTCAAGATGCTTTCATTACAACGCTGTTTAATCGATAAATTCGTAGTTACCTGTGTTTCCCCACATTGGTTGTACGGCTCGTCTGTTATTTTCCCTGGTCTTCTTCAAAAAGACTACAATTATTGTCCGTTCGATTAAACTTCTCTAAATGCAGTGAAATACCTCGCGAGTCTCTTGTAGACTTCATTGTTACCAAGCATTTTGATGCATGCCACAAAATTTCTTCACAGATTTTTAATGATTCGTACTACTCGCTTCACGATGAGTTATCGAGAACCCGTTCCTTCTCATCTACACGGTCAAAATCTAAGATTGTGTATTCTTGCACCGCTTCTTACCATAACTATGCTTTGCCTTATTTGTCACGTCTTCTAGTGAATTTTACGAAGATCATTGATGCCACGCGTGAACGTTTGTTGGAGTGAATGTATATGTAATTTGTTTTTCTTTTCTCCATTTGTCTGCCCTTTTAAGTAGACTTTTCATCCCCAAGTATTTTATCCGCAGTTCTAGTGCAAATAATATGCTGAAAATTTGCTCAGTCGGGTATACAAAGCTTATTCTGATTGATCTGACTTGACTTAATACACATTTTTATCTGCTCTGTTCTGGCATTCCTCCGCGCATTTAATCTCTATTTTGCGTTTTTATTTTCTCTCATATTCTGCGTTCGTAGTTTCATGCCCTGGTGGGACAGCGGTTGATGTGAATGTTGACAAGGCACCTGCCTGTCGAAAATCGACACATCGCTTATATTGGCTCCAGGCCTCCGTTGATCGTTGATTGGGGAGACTGGGTGCACAGTTCACGTGACCGTGCACCAGGCAAATAGTGGCTCCAGGTATCCATTTTGGAGCGGGCTAGGGTCCAGCGATCGCCTTGTGTAGACCTGGCACGCATGATTTCCCAAATAGACGGAAATGATTCCACTGTACATGTTGAAGGCGTGTGGGCCGGCTCCGTTGATAAAACGTGGCTCCCTCCCGGTCTTATTCCTTCGGATTTACACTGAATATGGGATGTGTGGATGGAGCTGTGGTTAACGTTGCGCAAGCCATCCATAGTGTTTCAGTAGGTGCAGGCATTCTGTGGCTGTCCTATGGAGGCTTCAGTAACTGGCAAATCCGAAATCGGATGCTGTCAACCGTGTATGTAGCTGTGTTACTTTGATTTGTAGACTTGCTGCTGCTTTTGACTAGGTTGGATCGTGTCACCAGTGTGAGAGAAGCTGAAGGAAAAGCTTCGAGGTGAATGACTGACGAGCATGAAGTGGATGTCATCAACTAATTAGGCAAGGGCAGCTAACTATCGTTAGTGGCTAGTCACATCCGCCACGTCACAGTGTTGTTAAACAGACATTCGTAGTTTCTTCTAGGTGTAAGCCCAATACGTCCTGAAACCTTGCCATCGAGCCATTTCCTAGAACGGCGTAATTTCGAACCAACCAGCTGGCACCACAGAACGTTGCTCGGCGAGCCAGCTGCTTTGCCTTTTGTGTGATTGGTGTGCATTTCAGTGTTTAAACAAGTTTTATGCACGTTAACTTCTGATCAGCTTATAAACAACGTCATTGAACGTGTGGCGAAGATCCTGTCAAGGCCTGAAAGTGATATTGTCAATGTGGCTCTAAGACTTTTGTTCAATCTGAGTTTCGATGCAAATTTGAGGAAGGAGATGGTTACGAAGGGGCTCATTACAAAGCTGGTTGATCTGCTGGGTGAGTTACTCAGTTATCCGCATGTGTTACTTTTGTCTTTGTCTTATCCATTGTCACTTTGTTCAAATTGTCGAGCCTGCAAGTTTTTGCGGTCAGCGAATTTACAACATCGTGCAGTGTGCATTTTTCATGGATTATTCGAACCATCAGTGGTTCGGTCAGACTGGTCACTTGTTACTCTACTCACCTGGCTTGAGGATTCTTCTGTTTACGTCTCGCTATCAAGCAGAAAGACATCCTTAATTCACAAAGGTGTCTGTCAGTAATCCCCTTACGAGTATCAGTGATAGTCAACTCCATTACTGGCAGCTGCCAGTCACTACTTCGTTCGGTATGTATGCTTCTAGCTTCATAATCTGTTTCGCCCCTGATTGGTTGTGCAATTGTTTCTCAACTTGACCTGTTGCAGAAGAAGTAGTACTATTCGGAGTGGGTTTTCAAGTTTCCATTGGTGTAGTGCGTGCACAGTTTGCACAGTGGACTAAAATTATCTACCGCGTTCGTTATTTCGGCACACTTGTCTTGTATACATCGGCAGTTCTGTCTCGCGGTATTTTTTCCTGTTTACATGGTTACTAAACGGAGTCGATGTCAGTGGGCTTTTTAATTACCTTTTCATCGAGAATCAAGGTTTGTAAACCTCTTCTGTTTTGTTTCCCTTTGAGTCCGGTTCTCTATTTTGTTGCCGTCGATATAGCCTGACAGAGAATTTGTCTAAGATCCTTTTTACTCTGTTTTATTCTCCGTCAGTATTGTTGCTTACTTCTTTCCTGTTGGCTCATGTGACGTTTTCGAGTAAGCTCGGGTTGTTCTGTTGCCTTGGGGAATTATTTCGCGTGCTTCCATTTAATAAATGTTAGGGCAGCTGGATTGATGGATCGTTCAAAGCCTGTTGTCGTAGGTCGTATAGTGTAGAGTGTTCCAAATCCACTTTCTTAATTCTTTTATCCAATTGCCTTAATGTAAGAAGCATTGCACATCCGTCCCTTGTATTTTTTTGCCAGCCATTGAGGAGCATCAACAGACTGTTCTATACATCCTGTATCACTTGAGCACAGAAGATCAATTCAAAACCGAATTTGCCAACCTTCACGTCATATCGGCCGTAAGTAATCTTTTGGTTATACTATACCAAAGGGCGCAAATTTAACTGGGTTCCATCGGTCAGTTACCAATAGGCGGCCTTGATGACTTTCAAGTGAAGGTGTTCTATCAGGGTTGGTACGTTGTGACTAATCACGCAACAAAAGCACCGCTCTCGTCATCGTTACACAATGTACTCTTTTGTGGCCAAACTTTTGGCAACCAATCCAAAACTGTAGCTTCACTGCGATTTTGTCAGAAGTATAATAGAAAGCAATGCTGGTACATAGTGCTAACTAGTGATATATATATATATATATATATATATATATATATATATTCGGCATGAGCAAATGCAATTGACAGAGTGCCACAACACTTAGATAACAATAGGTAAAAGAGGAAAACAGGAAAAGCAGACAGTCAGCGGACAAAATAAGGTGAGTTTACGTTGCTCGGTATTCTCATATACTTCTAGTCACCGACTGATTATGCGTAAGCAAGCATAAACCTCATCTGGTCTACTCGTTAAAACAGGCTGCCAGTTGCTGTATGTTACCCACTGGCAATACTGCCGTATGATGCAATATTGTGAGCAAACAACATCTAGCATTCATTTGCTCCAGCTGCAGTCTCAGTGGCCGCATTGCCCGAACTTCACTTACCAGTAAATCACAGTCCAGATTGGAATTGTGCGTTGGTATCCATTCGACCAATGCGTACTTCAGAATGTCGCCATCTGCAGGTTGATCGTGCTTAGTTCATCAAAGATTTTAGGGACAGAACCTTCTCTATCGATTAACTGTAGATAAACTGTGCCCAACCCGGTATAACCCGCTTTCTTTGCTCACTTGCTAAAGACAAAGGTCTTAGCCACATCACAAGTTAGCCCTCTGCAACATATGCATTTACAGCTACGCAATTTGTGTGCGAAAATTATCACATATGCGACAGATCTCACACGGTCTGCTGCATCTCTAAAAGATAATCGTAACATTTCATGTTAACTGATTTACCTAGGAAAATACCGACTGTGTGGTGCACCACCACCGGTACTGAGAGTTAGCCATGCTCTCTGACTAGTCCGCGATATCGATTCGAACCAGAAACAGTGTTTTATTAAAGCGTTTCGACATTAAGCGCCTGTTTATCCGAGACATGCTTACCGTCACGGTGTCAGTCGGGTTAAAGATACAACGGTGCATTTGGAATACGTGCCTGAATTCCTACCATGCTGTAGTGCGCACACGCCTAGAGCACATTCTTTCAGCTCCAAATAAGCGCTTGACCTAACTTTTGTACTTGTAACTTAAAACTGCAAAATGCAGTTCAAGAATATCACAACGAATTGACCCAACAGTTGTCAACGATGAATGAGGTTAGTGGGCGGAATGCGGACTAAATAAATAAATAAATACTTTATGCTCCTCATTGCGAGGCACACCATCAAGGGCATGATCATGGTAAAACGCACATGTGGGATCGGCAATTGCACAAATTATTACATTTTGGCCAATAGCATAGGAGTGTGTGTGTTGACATATAGAAGTATGTTTAGGTCTGTATTTGGAGGCAGCCATGTTGTGTGAGTATGTAAATGTGACCCCGCATGTATTTTTGTTTGCTGGGATCGCCGTCAAAGGGGGGAATCAAAGGAACGCTTTGAATCGGATGACGTTGGTGATGTTTGAACGATTCTCCGGAAAAGGGAAGAGGCAGTGACTTTGTTTGGTGGCGATTCACATCCGCCACGTCACAGTGTTGTTAAACGGATATCTGTGGTTTTTTATAGAGAGAACGCTTGCCAGCGGAAATCTTACCACATCTGTAACACTGCTTCAGAACCATTTGTTGGAACGGGATTAACCCGAAGCACCCAGCTGGCACCACGTGGAGGTTTTTCGGCTAGCCAGGGATCGTCTCAGTTATGTCATGGGAAATGTTTACGACATCTGCTGCACGCCCAACCAGAGAAGTCTCTATCGTGATTGAATTTCTGATTCCAAATTAATTTAATGTAAGTACGCAAGCAGATGCAGTTGGGTACTTAGTCTTAGCATGTTCATAGCGCTTTGAACTGCTATGGGATGGACCGGGAATGCTTACGGGTTGCAAGAGCTCGTGAAATGACGAATGTTAATGCTAATGGGAACTGCCGAGTACTCCTTTAACTTTTCCGGAACGTAGGTCCAATGAAATCCTAAGTTAGTGAGACCGCAGCACCGCTGACTAGCCATCTGGGCTGAAGATTTTGAAGAGCACTTCAGCAGACCTGACACGACAGTCCTGCTTGCTGAATCACCTGACTCGACGTGGGAAGTAGACGTCACCCTTGTGCTGTGCTAAAATGGAACAATGACTCTGCACCCAAAAAACTTCTTCCATTTTTGTTGGAAACCGACTATGTCTCACTGTTGTATGCAATCGTTGCTCTATTCAACATGATTTAGGACGCCTTTAGACTGGCGACTATCAACTATAGCATTTCCGCAAAGTTGCATAAAAGGTCCAAACTTTTGCATAGAAAGTCCAAAATTTTGCATAGAAAATCCAAAATTTTGCAAACAAGGTCCAAAATTTTGCAAAGAAAGTCCATAATGTTGCAAAACCCTGTGCGATTCGCCAGCCGCTCAGAGCCAATCCTCTGACCTTAAGTGTGTTCTCATTGGCCGGATTCCAAGGTTCGGTGAGTTAGTCTGGGGAGGTGAGCGCGCTGCTCGTTGACTGGGTGAGACTTGTGAATGAATCTTGGAGGAATGCACTTCGACGGTGCAACGGGCTTGTATGCGTCCCCCTCACGTCCGAAACGATGGATCACAATTGGTCTGAGTGCAATGAACAGCTGGAACATAAGCGCACGACCGAAACCATGTCTATGATTCTAACGTCGTCGGCATGCCTTCTCACGTTCGACAGAGTATCTCATCAGATATTCGTGACCGAGTTTTGGGCGCTTTCGTCAACGGTGATGACTGGCAGCTTGTGGCAACTGTGAACAACGTCAAATATCAAACAGCCTACTCCTGGATTCGTCGTTCTCTTGATCAGGAACCGAGTACTACGCAGGCGTGCGGTCGTAAACGGATTTTGTCAGAGGAAGACGTAGATGACATCCTGGATTGGATCGCAAGGGACTCAACTCTTACGCTACGGGAAATGCGAGTACGAGTACGAGCAGAAATGGACAAGGACCTTTCGAAGTCAACAATTGCACGGCACCTAGATGGTCGATTGATAACTATGAAGAACATCTATCAGGTTCCCGAGGGAATGAACAATGAGCGAAACAAAGGAATACGCAGGGAATTCGTTCAGCAGTTTCTCCAAGTTGAGAGCGATGGCAAGTTCTTCATTTGGATTGACGAAGCGAACTTCAACGTTTACTGCAAACGGACTCGTGGTCGGGCGCCCAGAGGAGTGAGGGCCTGTTGCAAAGTTGCCAACAGCAGAGGGCACAATTTACATTTAATCGGTGCACTCACGATAGAAGGGAAAGTGTCGATGACAACCCGGAGAGGCTCATTCACAGGTTCCCTATCTCTCGAATGGCTGCGAAGCTATTTAGACAACCTGAAACGGGAGATGGAGCTCCAGCAGGTTGTCGTGGTATGTGATAATGCACCATGTCACACACGACTGGAAGAACTGTCGTCAGTAGATGGATCCGATGGAGTAATCATACTGAGATTGAGCCCATACTCTCCGTTCTTCAATCCGATCGAGAATGTTTGGCAGGTGGTGAAGGCCAGAGTGAAGAATGAGATGAGAGTGCACTACGAGGAACTTCTGGCCGGGGATCCCCAGAAACTCATGACGCAGATGGAATGGAGGCTGCAGTTCCTTGGACGCATTGCCGAAGCAGCCACCAAGGATATCAGCGTTGTGGGATGTCGTAATGCTATTCGACATATGCGTGTACATTTTACTAATTGTCTAGAAAAAATGACATATTTTGATCACTTTGCTGGCCTATTTTTTACGTATCTGTTTGTATGGCAGGTTACTGGCAGCGCGTAGGGAGGTGTGATTATTCCCAGTGTTTTCAAAATATGTTTGCACGTACGTAAGTTTGTGTGTTCGTACGGGGGTTGAAGCGATATCTGATGTCTAGCGCAATGGAGTGACACGGGACCGACTTCCAGTGAGCCATGCCCGAGTGATATGTTCAACTTATGGTCCTTTTCATGCTGGTATTCGCTGCGCCGTACTCTTTCATGATCAGCCTGAGATAATGTAGATACAGTTTCTTTGTTCGGAAAATTAGGATGTTTGAAAAGCGCTTTGTAGGACCAAGTGAGCTTGCCGGGTGAAGCAACCGTCAGATGTATCACAGTATGGGATATCAGCGTGGATAGTTGAATAGTAGTGAATACGAAATTACTGCGCACGTCATGTCAGGCTTTTCTAAGAGTGAGAGGAACTGCTAGATGCGAGTTCGCAAACACGTCCATTGCCAGACAAGATGTTGTCATTGAATCTGAACAAATGAATCGCGTGTTTAATAGAAACCGTCTCTGTGCGATGTTTGTCCGCTGTATTTGAGTGCACTGGCGCGTTAATCCGTTACCCGATTGGAAGTTGGTCTGTCAAGTTCGGAACCCACATCAGCCGGTTCGGAAGCTGTACTTTAGATTTAAAAGCAACCATTCCTACAGTAAGCCCAATTTAATTTGCGTGCCAGAAAGGCGCGAATAGCTGTCCAGTAAGACTTGGATACAGTCTGGCTTGTTCGGACGATCCTTCTTTGACCCAATAGCGTGCGTAAGCAAATGCGGGGGTAGTTGGCGTGGAAATGTTTCTACGTACTGAAATAACATCAGATACAGACAATTGGCATTTTAATGACATTACTACCATCTATCTCAGCTCAGGAAATGTGGCTTGCGAAACCGCAAATTTCGCACAATTAGGGTTTTCAGACTTCAACCATGCGAACATCAGAACGTTATAAACTACCCCATGTGAAGACATCTTCGGCGCAATAGGATATGTAACTAATACTAATGCCGTTCACATTCACCA